CCTGTTTTTTCTTTTAAAAATTTAAAAAGTTTATATTGAAATTCTTTTTTAAAATTTTCCATTATCATTAGTGTTTAATTATTTTATCAGTCTTACAGGCCTATATGTGTTTTTCTGAGTAACCAAATTGAAGATAACAATATGTAATACAATAACCATTGTTAATTTCCTATCACCTTGTCTGAAATCTTGTTTTGCTTTTATTGTATTCGTGTTGTTTTGCTTTTGTCTGTATGTTTGTTAATATGTTTTTGTTCTTTTATCTTTAAAATAAAAAAGTACATTTTCTTGTTATTGGCATAAAGTTATACATAGTAGTATTTTATTAAAAAGTCTTCCTTATTTGTAGTTATATTTACTTTTTCATTGTTGAGATTCTCAAACTTGTTTCACTTTTCACCAAATTTGTTAAACATCTCTTAATGTGTATTTTTAAAGAACTCTTGGTTTTATGCAATAGCTCTAGATATTTTAAATTTTCTAATTTATTGATTTCTTTCTTTTGTTATTTTTCTAGCTTCTGAATCTAATGCTCCAAAAATACTTATTTGTAACATTTCTTGTTTTAGGGAAGACTTATTTAAGGATATGAGTTTTTTTAAGTAAACTTTGGCTATATCCCATAGAATTTTCCATTTAGTATTTCAACATATGTTAATTTCAAAATAACTTATAAATTTTTATTTTTGCTTTGACATGAGCTTTTTAGAAGGTTTAGATTTAATTCCATTTTAATCTGTGAGTAGTTCCTATAAAAGTTCTACTTTTAGACAGTTACTGATTCATTTTTCATGGCCTATTAAATGATTTCTCTCTATATAAATAAATTTTAAGTAAACATTTCATGGACATTTGAAAAGAATGTGTCCTCTACCCTTTTAAAAGAGATTATGATTTGCTGTGAAGTCAAGCTTATAATATGTACTACTTACATATTTTGCACACTTATTCATTGTTATTTTGCTATAACACATGTTAGGAATGGTTTGCTGACCTTTCCCACTATACCTATGGGTTTGGAAATTTTTTTTCTTTTTCTAGATCTTCTATTTACTTTTTGACAAATACGTGAAAGAATGAAGAGTGATGCTGTTGACCCCAGGCTGCCTGGTTTGAATGTGGGCTCCACCCTCACCAGCTGACAGACCTTGGACAAGTTTCCTCCACTGTAAAAACACATCCTCTCTTTTACAGTCTTCTTGGGAGGATTGCATGCGTTGATGTAGAACTGTGCCTGACACATGGTGAGCACTTTATTACTCGTTATGTATCTATTGTGATGATATTCAATTGAAAGGGCTCATGCTTGCTGTGTTTTGATGAATCTGTTTACTTTCTTTGTCCTACGTAGAGCTTTTTGCCTTGAATTCTCTCTGGGCTGTATTTTTGTTCGCATTTGCCTGCTCTACCACAGTACAGTTAACCCTCAGTTATCTGTGGGGGTGGTTTCCAAGAGCCTCCAGGATATCAAAGTCTATGGTTGCTCAAGTCCCTTACATGAAAAGATACAGTATTTACAGCTGACATAATCCCTCTATCTCCTTTAAATCATCTCTAGATTCCTTTTAGTACCTAATAATGTAAGTAGTTGTTACACTGTATGGTTTAGGGGATAATGATAAGAAAAACAAGCACAAGTTCAGTATTGACTCATTTTTTCCTGAATATTTTCAAGTCTTGGGTGGTTGAATCCATGGATGAGGGACTCTAATGGGAGGCTGACTGTACTACAAACTGGGTGGTTTATATTTAACTTCTATTTACTTATTCATAATTAACAAAACTGTATTTATCGTGCATAGCATGATTTTTGAACTATATATAGATTGTGTAATGGCTAAATGAGTTCATTAACATATACATGACTCACTACTTACCACTTTTGTGATGAGAACACTGGCGCTTCTAAGCAATAGAGGTTCCCTCATGGTTCTGCAGGTCAGGAATTCTAAGAGCAAGATGCTGCAGATGTGCCTGGTGAAGGCCTGCTTACTAATCATGCATAGCTGTGCTTTCAGTGTCCTCACAAGGCGGAGGAGCAGATGAGCTCCATTAGGCCTCTTTTATAAGGGCACCAATCTCATTTGTGAGGGTTCCACCCTCATGATCTAATCATCTCCTGAAGGCTCCACCTCCCAATAGAACCTTGGGGGTGAATTTTGGGGAGAAGTACTCAAACCTAGCCTATCTTAGGGCATCTGATTTATTTTCAACTTTTTGTATTATTTATTGCATCTAGTTTAGCTTACTTAATACAAACTCAGCCTGAACATTCTTACTTTTAATAAGGAAGCTTAGCCTTTTTTTACAGTTGTTGGTATTACCACTATCCCTATTATATTTGTGTGTGTTTTTAGGTGGATGTGTTTCTAGCTCTCTTGTCAAGGTGGAACTGTTGCTCCAATGGCCTTCTAGTATTGGTAGCTAAGTTTAGGTTTTTCTTGTCTCCTGCTGCTTCAAGAAAAGAGAAACCAGACACTTGTCAGGACATGGTGTCTGTACCCACACTCTTTTTGGAATCCCGGAACTGAGCTGTTCTTATAGCCATCATTCAGTGAGTACCTAATATCACCTAGGTGTTTAATGAAACTTAAAAAATGAAAAATTAAAACCATATGTCTTTAGAGACATTTCTAAAGATGTTGCTCCACTGAACCCACACAATAACCCCACAAGGTCGGTATTACACATAGGAAGACTGGAGACATCAGGGAGTGCTCTTGAGGAATGAAAGACAGTTTATACTGTGTGAACTCACTCCAGTCATACATGCAGAGATGTGGAGTAGGCTCCAAATTATGCTCCTGCATTGATTTTCACAGAGTTTCTCAGGAATAGGTTGCCAGGGATGTTTGGAACAGTGAGCCTTCTTCTTATTCTGGTTTAACTATTTTTCCATACTAGTTTGAGTTACCACTCTAAGTTGACTGTTCTGGATCGGATCATACAAAGTCTAGTAGTTTTTTTTCTTTTACTGCTAGAGGTTAAAAAAGATCTACACTTCAGTGGTATGTGCTGCATCAAGGGATTCGTCCTGTTGGTTTCTTCTTCAGAGCCTGGGCCAGGAGTAGGGCTTTCTGCCTTTGCTGTGTTGCAGGATGCTGGAAAATGGCAGACTCGAGCCTGACAATCTTAGTGTTTCTAGAGCCTGGAAAAATGCCCAGCTCACAGTAGGTGCTAGCTCTTAGAATGACCTAAGCTCAGAGGGGGAAAATGGTCTTACATTAACAACTGAGTTAGGAGGCTTTAGAATAGACATGCATTATCTTAAAATTATGCTCTCTATAACCCTTGCAGTACTATGTATAAACAATAAAAATAAAATGTGTTTATTACTCTTCTAAGAGCTTACTCTGGGCTCAAGCAGTGTGTGCTTTCAGTGGGAGAGTTCTGCGTCACCATAGGAGGGTGGAATAACATTGATGTATGAATGACTGCTTGCATTGGTAATGCCAGTAAGGACATCCAACCAATAAAAGTTCTCCCGAGCCAGATGCTGGGGAGACATATAGCCCTGATCTCACCAGGGTTCCATAATTGAGGGGAAAGAAAAAAACCCAGAAAACAAAATAACAACCCATGAAAACTCCCAGCTTGCATCAGGGAAATATTGCCCCAATGTTTTAATGAGATTCCCTAGGTGAATCAGTTTTGTGTACAGGGCATTTGACTTCCACAGATATCTGACTAGACCTTGATTGATTGCCAGACTTTTTAAGTAGCATTGCTTTTTTATGGCTGCAGTACTGGGATGATGAGGTCACTGTATTTTGCCATGTTCTTGAAATTCTTATTAAAACAGCCTACAGGTTATAAGAACATCTAGGCAATGTCTTCTTGTGCTAAGCTGGAGAGATGGGCAAGTTGAGGTAAATAAGCTGATAAAGGCAGCAGCAGCAGAAACAACAACAACAACAACAACAGCAACAACAACAACAATAAGCCAAACAAAAAAACCTCAAAGAGGCCAGGCGTAGTGGCTCACACACCTGCAATCCCAGCACTCAAGAGGCTGAGGCAGGAGAATCTCTGCAAGTTTGAGGCCAACATGCACTACAAAGTGAGTTCAAGGCCAGCCTGAACCGCATGTGAAACCGTGTCTCAAAAAGACACACACAGACACACAACAAACAAAATAAACAAAACCCTAAACAACAACACCAACAAAAACCTCAAAGATTGCTTTCTAGTTGTGAGGAAGAATTTCAGAATTTTAAGAATTACAATTGGTTGCTACTAGTTGTAGTTTATCTTTTCTTTTCATTAATAGCTGTTATTTATTGAGCGTAGCAGCATTTCATATGATACAGGAACTAAGACACATATGATAAGTTTATGATACATAAGCTTAGACACACATGAACTCTTTATCCTTGTTACAATGTTGTAAGGTAGGTACTATTATCCCCACTTTGTAGATAAATGAATGGAATCTCAGAGAGGTAAGGTAGCTTGCTCATGATTGTTTAGTCAATGGGAAAGGTAGGATGTAGATCAGGCTGTGCCTAGCTCCAAAGCTCATGATCTTAACTGAACTGCTAGTTACTATGTGAGGGCTGTGCGCATAGGTTGAGGTTCCTTTTGGGAAGGACCAGACAGCAATATTTGAGCTGCAGCGTACTGACCCTTGTCAATCGTGTGGACCTGGGTCCTGGGGAAAACTGTACAGAAACACTGTGCCTTAGGACATATCATCTTGACCTTCTCCTTTGGAGAAAGTGGCCAATCAGACTTCCATTCCACTAGCATAGGGCCATGTGCCTGAAGTGGCCAGACAGGGCTGTGTACGATTTGGGATTCCTCCAGCTACTACCTATTGATGAGAGGCTGCTAGAAGCTTTAATCCAATTAGAGTCTATAGAACTGGTTTCTATCTCTGGCGCCTGACTCAAGTTTCAGAGCAAGGGGAAAAAGTATGACATCACCTCTGCTTGCATCTGTGCCGGGTGGCTAATGAAATTATGTGATGGGTTTGAAGAACATTAAAGTCAATGTTTGATCCTTATTATTATTAAGAGTACTTTCAAATTTACTGCACCATGAGGCAATTTTGAAAGCATCATTTTTCATAGGTGTATTCATTGCTCTGGATTTTAGCACGTAATCCATGGGATATGGAGAGTGCTAGCAGCACAGGGAATCTATTCTGAAATCTGCAGGATCAAAGTGCATGCAACTCTTTTGTTGGAAGGAGGAGAAGGTGCTGGCATTTTCCCATAATGATGCATCATAATAGCCTTGGATTGAAAAAGCCTAAAATGAAACAAAACAGGTTTGTCAAAGAAATATGAAGTACCACTGTTGCCATTAATATCAGCAAGTTTTTTTTTAACAAGTTTAAATGGTTAGTGTGCAAAAAGAGCTCAATTCAGGTTACCAACCATTTATAGATTCTGAGTTAGCGCTGGGAATACCCTAGTCAGGGAAAGGGGCACTTCTGTCTTATGCATAAGTATATCTCTAGGGCCCAGCTAAATGTCAACAGGCAGAAATTATTCTCTCTTTAAATCAATCAATCTATCTTTCTATTTATCTATCATCTATATTAAACGTGTATATATGTATAGTGTTAAATGCATAGACCTCAACTGTACAATTCAGTGAAATTATAGACATACACAATAAACATGCACTGTGCTCAGTCATCACCCAAATAAAAATAGAGACCATTTCCCATAACTCAGGAGGCTCTCCCATGTCCCTCATATTTCCCTAAGAAAGACAACTACTATTTTGACTTCTATATCCACAGGTTAGTTTTGTTTATATCTAGTATGCATCATGTAAATTCATGTAAATTGAGTACACACATAAATGAAAACATACACTATGTTACCTTTCATATCTGTTGTCTTTTGTTTGACTTTATGGCTGTGGAATTCACTCATATTGTTCTTCTATGACGGATATTTGAGTTTCTTCTAATTTTATAAACAAAACTATTTTGAACAAAACTGTTATGAACATCCTTGAACATGTCATTTGATGGGGTCTTCTCTTTATTTTATTTTGGGCATATGTATAGAACTAGAACTGCTGGGTCATTTTAAAATCTTTAGAATTTTCCGTGCTTTGATATCACTGAGTTACTTTCCACTCCAAACAGGTGGGGTGTTTTTGAATAAAGTGTTAGAAAATCATGATAATTTGAAGACAGTATCAATGATATGCTGGCCATAAATCATCTTTCCTGAAGACAGCTGAAATCTGTCTTGTATGCTCATGCTCAAAACAAGTTTTACAG